CCGATTCAAAATACATACATATCGTTTTACGATTTTTGCGCGGTCAGTTTTTAAAATTTTGTCCATCAATTTAATTAATGCATCAAGATGTAGGAGTACATATCTTTTTTTTTAGAATCTTAGGAGTACATATCTAGACGGCGTATGTAAGTAAGGTAGGCACTCAGCCTGTTTGGTAGGCCGTAAACGATTGTGGATTATTTACTGCTGGCTGGTTTAGTGTGAGAGAAAAATACTGTTTCAGTTTATAATCCACGATCGTATACGAGGAAACGAACATGCTGACTATATATAAATTCACCAGAAAAAGTTCTTTTTTTTAATATTTGACCACTTCCTCTTAAGTGTCTAGGAATTATTGGTCAACCGTGTCGATGCTGTAGATAAAAGTGTTGAGGGCACGTTCAGTTGCTCAAACTTTACACGTCCAAAAAGCACGGTGCACTGTAGTGGTACTGTAATATTTCGTTTGTATTTGGTAATAATGGTCCAACCGTTGACTAATTAGGCTTCAAACGTTCCTCTCGCAAAGTACAACCAAATTATGTAATTAGTTATTTTTTTTATCTACATTTAATACTCCATGTATATGTCCAAAAATTTGATGTGATGAAGAATCTTATACTGTACAAACTTTGGAGGTGCAAAGTTGATGAAACTAAACAAGAGCTAAGATCCAAAGGAAGTACTATAAAGCACGGATGCCTCCTACACTCCGCCGTAGGGCATGGTACGCCTCTTGGCACTCTCTTTCTCTCCATCATTAGCAGCATAAACACAACAAGGACAAGTGTGTCTTGTCACACCAATGCAAGCTAGGGCCTTGTTTAGTTCTCTCATTTTATAGATTTTGGTACTTATAAAAAAGATGGTTTGGAAATATTAAACTTTCTTATATGCCCTGGAGTACTAAATGTTGACTCTAAACCAAAAACTAATTGCACCTTTGATTGTACTTTGTCAGACGTTAGGGTTTTGAGTCTAATTAGTCATCCCTCTTCTTAGTTCCTATCCCTCTCAGCACTCTCTTTCTCTCCATCATTAGCAGCATAAACACAACAAGGGCGAGTGTGTCTTGTCACACCAATGCAAGCTAGCTTAGCTCAATCTTTTTTTTGAGGTATTTACAGTATGGTCCTGAAAAAAATACCTCTTCTTTTTTTATTTGAACTTACCTCTATGCCTTTGAAACGAAATTTTGTTCCTTCCAGGTGCTCCGTCAAGTCTGTTAGGGTATGCTGTTAGTTTCTCCACTAATCGACACGCGAAATGACTTAAATGCCCTTCTGCTGACTTTGTTCCTATCCCTGTTCTTCTGCCGCATCTAACCACGACCGAGCACGAGCGGGTTCGAAAAAAAGAAACGCCGCGAGCGGAGGGACGATGGCCACCGCCGCCGCCGGCCTCTATGCCACCGGATCCACGGCCGGCCGCCCCCCCTCCCATCGTCGACCGGCGAGCTCCGCGTGGGGTAGGCACCGCCGCACCGCCGCCCGACTAGTAGCTCGCGCGCGGCCGGGGCTGGCCCAGCGCGCCCCACCAGGCGGCCCCTCCCGCGGCCAGCCTCTCCAGCGGCAAGCAGGGATAAACTGTTGATGGATGTCAATTTTGGCTGTTTGCTGAATTTTGTCGTGTGACTAATATGTATGTATATGGGTTTCGGTGACATGCAGCCATGCAGGATTTCAAGATCCAGAGTATAGTTGGGTCATGTGATGTCAAATTTCCTATTCGTCTGGAGGGCCTCGCTTTGTCCAGTGGCACGTTTGCCAATGTAAGGGCGTGTTTAGATCCAAAATTTTTTGGGTTTTAGATGACATGCGTTTTTAGCCATGCAGGATTTCAATTATAGACAGAGTTCGAAAGTTTAGGCGTTTCACCTAACTGTGATGTCAAATTTCCTATTCGTCTGGAGGGCCTCGCTTTGTCCAGTGGCACGTTTGCCAATGTAAGTTCATAGCTTGCGCAATTAGCAACATTTGGAGCTCGTTCCTCAACTCTTTCTTCAGTTCAAAACTTGTATGCCTTGTTGTTTATCCTGATTAACCTGTTGCTCTCCTAATGTTTGACAGTATGAGCCAGAGATCTTCCCTGGACTGGTCTGCTGTATGGTGGAGCCCAAGATCGCGATCCTCGTCTTCGTCTCTGGAAAGATCATCCTCACCGGAGCCAAGGCGCGGGACGAGATATACACAGCTCATGCACGCGAATCAAAAGAAGGCTCAGCCTTTAATATGTGATATGTATATTAAATTCGCTTGTTGTATGTAAGGCCAATGTATGTTTGAAATCGTATTTATGTTTGAAATCGCATTTATGTGAGACCTTATTTATGTGAGATTGAGCCTACAGTGAATTTGTGAACAATTTATGTGTCAACCTATGGTCAATTGCAATGCATTTGTGCAATTTTTTATGCATTTGATAAGCTTATTTTATTGCAATGTATTTATGCTTGATTATGTGTCTTATTATGTACTGTTTATGTGTGAACTTATTTACGTAATATTACTTCAAACGTACAACAGACGAACAACATTTTGTATTTTTTTTTTTCCGTCAATGGTCATTTTACCCTTGACTTAACACCGTCAAGTGCTAAAAATGGACGGAAGGCCATAGAAAGAAGAGAATTTTGTTTTAGGGGCCATACAGGTAAGTTCAAATAAAAAAGGGCCAAGGAAGAAAGAAGCATTTTTTGTAGGGGCATACAAGTAAATACCTCTTTATTTTTTAATTTGATATGAACTCCAATTAATCAGGTTTCTTGTGGCGTGGTATGGTCATTCAGGAAGAATTCCATCGTGTATTTTAACATACCTTAATTTCTACTCCCTCCATTTCGAATAACAAGTCGTTTTAGGTTTGTACTACTAAGTCAAATTCCTCTAGCTTTGACTAACAAACACTGAAGTATAGGGAACTGCTAGCGCTCGGACGTCCGATCCGGGCGCTAGCGTCCGGAACGCCGGGACCTTCGTACCACATCTCGCCCTTTCCGCGGAATCACGCCGCCTTGCCCGCCAAGCATGGAATGAAATAGCAATCGGAACCGCCTTTCCTCCACTCCTCCTGCAAGACCCGCCCTTGCTTCAACACGACGGAACCCCGCGCCTTCCTCGCTTGTATGGAGACGGAACGGATCGAATAGAATGGGTTTCCCATCCACCCCCAACCTCGCCCGCCCCAACGCACTCCCATCAGAAAAATTGTTTGCAACATCAAACAAAGCGCAATGTGAGGTGAAACATCAGAACAAGTCTATTGCAACATCGGAACAAGAGCGACAGCAACAACACAACAAAGTTACTGCAATACGAGATGCAACATCTGAAAAAATACTAATGCAACAAAAAAGAGTTACTTGTTGCAACATCAAACAAAAGCTACTGCAACAACAGAAACAAAGCGCAATGCGAGATGCAACATCAGAAAAAAGACTAATGCAACAAAAAAATTACTTGTTGCAATAACAAACCAAAGCTACTGCAACAACAGAAAACAAAACCACAGAGATGCAACATTAGAAAAAAAGATGCAACATAGAAAAAATACTTGTTGCAATAGTAAAACAACGCTACTACAACAACAGAAACAAAAACGCAATGCGAGATGCAACATCAGAAAAAAAGACTAATGCAACGAAGAAATATTGCTTGTTGCAATAGCAAAACGACACTACTGCAACAATAGAAACAAAAAGCTCAATGCGAGATGCAACATCGGAAAAAAACTAATGCAACAAAGAAATATTACTTGTTGCAACAGCAAAGCAAGCCAACTGCAACAGAGCTCACCGGAACCCTATCCACCGCCGCGTCCCTCAAATCCAGATCTAGATCCAGGGGAGGAGGAGGAGGAGGAGGAGGAGGAGAAGGAGGAGGAGAGCTCAAATCCAGATGAGGAGGAGGAGAGAGAGAGGAGGAGGAGGACTCAGATCCAGAGAAAGATCCACCTACCTCGCCGGAAGTCACCGCCCTCCTCTCTCCTGCCGGAGGTTGCGACCGAGGAGGAAGTCGCCCAGGTCATCCTCCTCTCTCCGTGGCATGGAGGTCCTCTCCAGGGCATGGAGGGAGGGAGGGAGGGAGGGAGGAAGGGAGTGCTAACAGGTGGGCACGCCAGCGACTTGGATGCGAGCATGGCGTCTATCCCGAAAAGCAGCAGCGAGCGCAGCAGTGACGGAGGAACGGAGAGGGAGAGCGGGCGAGTGGAGTAGAGAGTGGGCGAGGGAGGTCACGAGGATGAGATGGGGACCGAACGGATAAGGAGCCGGGGGACGCGTCGCTTCGCTTCGTGGCTCGGGGCGTGTCAGGAATATCGGACGTTTGAGTCACAGTATTTATAGAAAAGTACACAAGCATCTGCTCCTGCAACATAAAATTGACAAACTACAACAACGAACAAAGCATATATAAATATTAAAAAAGGAAAAAGGAATGGGCCCACCTGTTGCATTTACCGCCGCGGCCGAATGTGTAGACGAGGACCAACAGGCCACAGGCCACAGGCCACAGATGGTACGTGGTGGGCCCCCTGGAAGACTAGGACCAAGACTTTGACTCGCTCAGCCTTTCATTCAATTCCATTATTTCCTACTTACCGGTCCTTTCAGTCCTGGACACTGGACAGAGACAGAGAGGTCACCACCACCACTGGGCGGGGCCCATCGTCCTCCCTTCGAACCAAACTCTAGCTGGGCTACGGCCCGTGCGATGCCATTCCGCAGCCCGGCTTGGTTTCTTCTGGCCCGGCCGTGCCAGCAGCCTAGGCCCGCGGCCCGCCCATTCGAAAGGGAAAGCGAAGCGCTCGTCACCAACCACCGCCTCTCCCCTCTCCTCCCGTCGCCTCCTCTTCTCCCGCCTGTTATTTCTCCTCGCCACCAACGCCACGGCCGTACGTCCTCCCCCTTCTCCGGCCCCGCGCGCGCATGGCGTAGACGCGTAGCACCGCCGTCGTCCCGTCCCCGTCCACGCCACCGCCTCGGACCGACCAATGCAACAATGGCCTGCTGGGTGGCGGCCGCCATGCACCTGCTGCTGCTCTGCAACGCCGCGGCCGCCGCGCGCGCCGCCGTCGCCCTGTTCGCCGCCGTCGACGGCACGACGCCGCTGCCCCCGCGCCTGTCCCTCGCGGAGGCCGCGGCCGCGACCGGCACAGGCGACTACGACGACGGCACCACCGGGGACAAGGGGTCCCAGGCCATCGTGGGGAGCCCCATCGTGGCCGGCGCCATGAGCGACCGCCTCAGGGCGCTCACCTCCTCCTTCGCCATCGCCATCGGCAAGAAGCTCGACTACTGCATCAAGGACACGTACGTGCGTGCTGCGTCTTCATTCCTTTTTGTTTTTCTTGCTTGCATTGCTTTGTATATATACATATATTATATAATAAATATGTATATATGCAGGGAGACGGAGTGGAATCAGGCCTTCGATTTCTCAAAGGACACCACCTTCCTCACCAATTGTATGAAGGAGACCAAGGGTACGTACCTGAGGATATGTATATGATATATATTTACCTATGCCATATATATAAATAAATATGATGTATATGTATGATGAAAAAATGGCCGACGACGACGTAATAAAATAACAGGGGACCTCCAGCAGCGGATCTGCACGGCGGCGGAGATGAGGTTCTACTTCGACAGCCTGATGGGCGGCGGAGACACGGCGGAGACCAACTACGTGAAGCCCAACGTGAACTGCAACCGGTCGTCGTGGATCGACGGGTGCGAGCCCGGCTGGGCGTGCAGCGCCGGTCCCGACCAGAAGATCGACCTGCAGAACTCCAAGGACATCCCCTACAGGCCGCTCAAGTGCCAGTCCTGCTGCCCAGGCTTCTTCTGCCCCCATGGCCTCACCTGCATGATCCGTAAGATCACCTCTTGCATTGCTTGCTTCGTTTGCTGCATTGCATTTGTTCCTATCCATCCCAGTGCAGCTGAATGAAGCATATATGCAGCTTGCCCTCTGGGTGCTTACTGTCCACGGTCCAGCCTGAATACTTCCACAGGCATCTGTGACCCGTAAGTCATATCCGGCGATCCACATCCACAAAAAGAGGTGAAGGTGAATCCATTCATGCATATGATGCATTGCATTGCAGGTACAACTATCAGCCGCCGCCCGGAAACCCGAACCACACCTGCGGAGCCGCCGACATCTGGGCGGATGTGGTCACAGCAGATGATATCTTCTGCCCTGCTGGATTCTACTGCCCCAGCACTATACAGAAGCTCCCTTGTAGTAGTGGGTAATCCTGTCTATCTAATGTTTTCCAACCTTCTTACAATTAATTCCCTGCATATTTAGTGTACATACCTTTAAAATGTGTCCCTTCCTTTGTTGAAGCATCTTCTTCTTCTTCTTTTAATCCCACCCCCCACTTTGAGTATGGGTTCTCAGTTCTCACTAATTATATAAATATAATAAATGCTGACAGTATAAGGTGCATTTTTATTTGCAGGTATTATTGCAGGAAGGGGTCAACCTCACAGACTAGTAAGCCCAGTCTTGTTCACAGAGATGGAAATCCTGACCATCAATATCAGCTCCTTTTGTTTCATTCATGCCCATCCACTCCTCCTAAATCCACTGCTGCTCACCTTACTGCAGGATGCTACAAGAAGAGCTCTTGCCCACCAAACTCTGCTACTCAGGACATCACTATATTCGGCGCGCTGCTTGTGGTACATGCCACTACATCACTAGAATGGCGATGATATCTCCTGGTTCCTGTAGTCCAATGTTGTCATTGCCCCTTTGTTGTTCTTCAGGTTGCATCCTGCTTAGTCCTTCTTATCATCTACAACTTCTCCGGCCAAATCCTGACCAACCGCGAGAAGAGGCAAGCGAAATCTCGAGAGGCTGCCGCAAGGCATGCGAGAGAGACCGCACAGGCTCGAGAGAGGTGGAAGTCAGCTAAAGACGTCGCCAAGAAGGCGGGCGTGGGACTGCAGTCGCAACTGTCCCGCACCTTCTCGCGCAAGAAGGCTGGCCAGGCACAGCCCGGACCGTCCAGGGTAGGAGACGCAGGTGGGAAGAAGAACAATCTTACTGACATGATGCGCTCGATTGAGGATAACCCAGAGAGCGATGAGGGGTTCAACCTGGAAGTAGGAGACAAGGCCCTGAAAAAGCCCACGGGGAAACAGATGCACACCCGGAGCCAGATCTTCAAGTACGCGTATGGTCAGATCGAGAAGGAGAAGGCCATGCAGCAGGAGAACCATAACATGACCTTCTCAGGCGTTATATCCATGGCAAAAGACCATGATGTCAGTACGAGACCATCCATTGAGATCGCCTTCAAGGACCTAACTCTGACACTGAAGGGAAGCAAGAAGAAGCTCTTGAGATCAGTGACAGGGAAGCTCTCACCTGGTAAGGTAGCTGCCGTCATGGGCCCGTCTGGCGCAGGGAAAACCACGTTTCTGAGCGCCATTGCCGGTAAGGCAACCGGGTGTGGAACATCGGGTCTGGTATTAATAAATGGCAAGATCGAACCGATTCGAGGGTACAAGAAGATCATTGGCTTTGTTCCCCAAGATGACATCGTCCATGGCAACCTAACTGTTGAAGAAAACCTCTGGTTCAATGCAAGATGCAGGTACAGGCTGGAAATCCGAGTAGAGTCCTTTCACTAGTTCTCGACTTTTTAAGCTGCTATTATTACTTGATGAACTCACATATGATAAACTGATGCGTTTCAGGCTGTCAGCAGACATGTCGAAAGCCGATAAGGTCCTCGTCGTGGAAAGGGTCATCGAGTCCCTTGGGCTGCAGCCAGTTCGAGATTCTTTGGTTGGGACGGTAGAGCAGCGTGGCATCTCTGGTGGCCAGCGCAAGAGAGTCAATGTCGGCCTCGAGATGGTGATGGAGCCGTCGGTGCTGATCTTGGATGAGCCGACGTCTGGTTTGGACAGTGCCTCCTCCCTGCTTCTGCTCCGCGCCCTTCGTCGTGAAGCTCTCGAAGGCGTCAACATCTCCATGGTCGTCCATCAGCCCAGGTTGGTCTCCGGACTCCGAATCTGAACATGTACTAGCTAGGTCGCTTGGTGCAGTCAAGTTTCTGGTTGATGATGGATCAATAACTGATGCTTGTGCTGTTTCAGTTACACTCTCTACAGAATGTTTGATGACCTGATACTTCTAGCCAAAGGGGGCATGACGGTGTACCATGGGCCCGTGAAGAAGGTGGAGGAGTACTTCACAGGGCTGGGCATCATCGTGCCAGAGCGGGTGAACCCACCAGACTACTACATCGACATCTTGGAGGGCATTGTGAAGCCCAACTTAAGCCCAGGTGTCAGTGTGAAGGATCTGCCGATCAGATGGATGGTGCACAACGGGTACGATGTCCCGCGGGATATGCTGCAGAGTTCTTCACAATCAGAGTCGACGTCCAGGGGAAGCATGGATCATGCTTCGAGCCACGACGATGCAGCGCCATCCATTGTTTCAGTACTCTGGGGCAATTTCAAGGATATCCTCGGGCAGAAGAAGGACGAGTATGATTACAACAAGACTTCAGAGGATTTGTCAAAACGTAAGACTCCCGGCATCCTGAGGCAGTACAGATACTTCCTAGGAAGGTAAGGCCCTCTTGTCTTGCCTTCAGAAGATATAAGCCTTTGTGAAATTTTATCAAGTGTGTCAAACTAGACTTCATGGCTTATGATGTAGCCATTCTTCTTCAGGTGCGGCAAGCAGAGGCTCCGTGATGCCAGGATACAGGGAGTTGACTATTTGATCCTTTGTCTTGCCGGTATATGCCTGGGAACACTGGCGAAAGTGAGCGACGAGACGTTTGGAGCGCTGGGATACACTTACACTGTCATTGCTGTCTGTAAGTATGAAAAGCTCTCTGAACAATGCTGTTTGCATTTTTTCTGATAGCACACTTCAGCCAAGTGATGCGCCCAAAATGTCGTTGCAGCTCTGCTCTGCAAGATCGGAGCCCTGAGATCGTTCACGCTGGACAAGATAAACTACTGGAGGGAGAGAGCCTCCGGGATGAGCTCCCTGGCCTACTTCATGTCCAAGGACACCATAGATCACTTCAACACCATTGTTAAGCCCATTGTCTACCTCTCCATGTTCTACTTCTTCAACAACCCAAGGTCGTCCATATGGGAGAACTACATTGTCCTCCTTGCACTCGTCTACTGCGTCACTGGCATCGGCTACACCTTCGCCATCTTCTTCCAGCCAGGTTCTGCACAGCTGGTGAGTCATCTGTGTATTGTGTATGCTTTACTTGCTCGATATGTCTCACGAGCCAGGTTCACTTAGAGCCAGAACTATCCTAATAACACATATGGTGTGCTTGCAGTGGTCTGCTTTGCTTCCAGTGGTTTTGACTCTGATAGCAACACAGCAGAAGGACACGATCCTTGCCGATCTGTGCTACACAAAGTGGGCTCTGGAAGCCTTTGTCATTGCAAACGCTCAGAAGTATGTATGGCTCAGCTCATCCTGTTTGATGACTAGCATATGGATTCAGATTCAACTGGCCATAGCAACACCGCAACCTGATAAAAACACACCATTTCTGTTTTCTCTCTGGTTGCAGCTATTCCGGAGTGTGGCTAATAACACGGTGTGGCTCACTGGTCAGGAGCGGCTACGACATTGAGCACGAGGCTCTCTGTATAGCGGTCCTCATTGCTAATGGGATACTCTTCCGCTGTGTAGCATTCTTCTGCATGGTCACCTTCCAGAAGAACTAAAAAATCAAGGAAAAACCATAAACTTTCTATGCCCATGTAGCAGGTCCGTTTCGTTAATTTCAGTGTGATAGGATTGTAGATTAGACTCCCTCTTGGTACAGTCCCAGGTGTAGATGAGGAGAGATTCTTGAATAGCAAGCAACTGTCAGGGATGCCCTAAATTACAGAGGCATTTTTTTCATTTTCAGGCTAGCTAAAACATCAGGGTTCACTTTGTTACCACCAATGTAAATTTGATATGCAAATTCAGTGTATGTATGAGTATGACAACTAATTATGAAATTTGTAGCTCTTCACTTGAAAAACAGTTTTCTTACTTTCAGTGCGAGTTTAAGTTACAGCAGAACTTAACACATTTAACTCCAAATAATCATAGCAATCATCTGTAAGCTCGTAATAAGAGCATATTTAACCACACGCAATACATGAATGCTGATACACAACTGAATACAGAATCAGAATGTGGGTAGTGCACAAGAGATTCACCATATTCAATTTATGTGGGCTTACAGCTCCTGGATCCAGTTTTTGGTATAAAAAAAGCTACACTGCAACAGAATCACAACAGCACGTATCTGATGGACTTGAGAGCTACACATGAGAAGCCATGAAGTTGAGCACAACTACTGGGGCAATAGTTAAGGTAGGCTTCTACATGTACCCTTGTTTTCTTGAACACGCAGGTGAGCTGTGCATCTTTATATTAAAGAGAGGCTTCTACAGGTACTTACTAGACCAAACCCTACAATATTAGGAAGAAGACTAATTTTGTTCAGAAGGCCCCTTAGAACTGACCTGAGACCCAGCCAAGTCGTCCAAAGTGAAGTTGAGAGTATCCGTTGAACCTTTCTTCACCTCCTCTCCTTGCGTTGCTAGGAAGTCCTCGATGCTCCCTGGCTCCCCGAACCATCCAAGCCTATCTGCTATGAGGTGGAGGTTGTTGCAGCCACCGCACCGCACAACCACAACTCCATTCTGGTACGAGTCCTTGCTGGCCATCTTCATAGATCTGGTCTCGCACACCTTGCACGTAAAGATCATGGCGAGGTCATGCCTTGGTGAGATCTTCAGGTTGGAGGTGTCCCTGACTTTGAATCCAGGCTCTCGTGTCGGGACAGAAGCGGGTGGGGGATTTGTTTCGGAGTCCTGTTGATCCTGGGGGTCTGTTGCAGTATTGCTCGCTCCGGTAACTGTTAGGAGGGACCTTAGCCCGGCACTTGCAGGTGGAGGAAATGAGAATCCTGCAATGACATGAGTTTCCAGTTCAGTGCTTAGCTAATCTGTTTTGCAAAATTGTAAAACAGCTATGGTACAGGTACACCCAAGGATGAAGCAGTAACCACAAATAAACATTTGTGCTCCCAAGTCACAACTAGGAAGTCAGTGTTTATTATTGTAACAATTATCGTTAGCGCTTTGTGAAAGCAGGGTAGTAGCAAAGCATGAATTGAACACAGCATGAATTTTTAGATTTGTTGAACCTATGTTTAAGGACAGCATACATGGCACACGAAACTTTCAGCTACAAATCCAAACCAATCAATCCTTAGCCTGAGCTTAGTGCCATCAACCTAAATAAACCAACCCTGAATTAATTTCACCAGCTTTTAAAGGGACGTAGCTAGGAGTATATATACGAGTAAATATAACATTAGGAGCAGTTGTGTAGCCATCAGACAGAGCAATGCAAGATTTTGGTCTCTACGGTGTTAGTCAATAAAAGGCACAAAGTGGAGACTGCTCTCGTTGAGTGAGTCTATGTTAAACATACGGAGCTTGCTTGCAAAAATTAAGGCACACATTAGAGATACGGATTCCTCTCGCAAACCCGAAACAATTCTGAACAGCACAGCCTAAAGCAAACCCCAGTTAAGGCTTAAGACGGACGGGAGAGAGAAATCTGGATGGATCACAAGCAAGCCATGAACCGTGAATTGATAGATACCATAGCTCGGAGCTCCCCTCCCCATCCGAGGAGCTGGAGACGCGCGAGCGCAACTAATAGGCAGCTAACTGAGGGAGAAACAGAGGAGGGCAAAGATGTGGGGATGGGATGGGGCTACCTCGGTGGGAGTAGGGAGCAGGCGATCCGGCAATTGCGGCGGCGAGGCGGCGTCGGAGCAGCGGAACCAGCCGGGCGGCAGCCATGGCGGCGCAGAGAAGGCTGTAGAAGAGGAAGAAGCTTTGCGCTTCGTCTGTCTGCCTGCCTCTCTGCTTGGAAATTGGAAGTGGATTGCTGAGGAAGAAAGAAAGAGACAGAGCGCGGCCGTGGTATGTTCTGGGCTTTCTGATGGGCCTTCCTTGACTACAAATTACATTGGGCTCTTAGAGCAAGGACAATAATAAAGCTAACAAGTTCTTCCTCAATGCCTCAAAAAAAAATATAGCCCTTTCTAAAAAAAACCCTAAGTAGTAGTTTCTTAAAAAAACCAAGTTAGCTATAAGTCAATTTTTAAACGGAAATGCCGTGTCTAGACGTCCAGACGGACGGACGCAGCTTCCAAAAATTTCCCCAATCGCTATCGCGCCGTCCGCTCGCTCCATCGCGCCACCCACCTTCCCTACTCTGCCTCCACCACGTCGCCCACCTTCCCCACTCCGCGCTCCACCGCGTTGCTCGCTCGCCGCGGCCGCTCCACCGAGTCGGCGAGCCTCCACGACAAATGCTCCAGCAAGCAGGCGAGGGGAGAAGCTTCATGTGATGCCGCGCCGCCGCCAACCTCTGCGCCGGCGTCGAGCTCTGCAACGACGAGCCTCCATTCGTCCAAGCCAGAAGGTGAAATTGCGCTCAAAGCGCATGTTGCAAGCGTATGTTTTAAGTATTTCAGATGTTTCAGAGGTATATTGCAAATGTTTTTATATCGATGTTGCATAAGTAGATCGGGATATTGCACATGTTGCAATAACTATATACGTATGTTTCAAGTGTATGTTCCAAATATTTTATCTATTTCAGACGTATATTGAGTGTTTCATCTGGATGTTGCAAAAGTAGATCCGGACGCTGCAATATCGCATGTTGCAAGCGTATGTTTCAAGTGTTTCATACGTATGTTGCATGCATTTCATCTGAATGTTGCATATGTTTTACAATGGTTACACACGTGTTTTCAAGTTTTTTTTGGCATTTTTTGCAAGTGTTTTAGATGCATGTTGCAACTATTTCAGTTGCCTTTTCAGACGTATGTTGTAAGTGTTTCATCTGAATGTTGTAAAAGTAGATCTGGTGTTGCACATGTTACAATGGAACCCACCTACCGCAGCCGCAAGAGCGCCGTCGTGGGTCATCGTGCGGGCGCCTGAGGTCGTCAGACGCATATGCATTGCAGCATCCAAAGGCCGGGGCAGGTGACTGGGACCCACATGGGTTCCTGCATGTGGGCGCGGTGGTCAGGCGAAACAGAGCGAGCGCGATGGTAGGACGGCATGCAGTGTGCGGTCCACGCGGTGGGGCGTTCGAAAACATACGGCAGGGGCTCCTTTCGCGTGCAGTGCGGCCTCTCGTGCGAAGGACCTGAGGCGTCCAATATTTTGGAGCGGCTCCGGACGTCCGGGCCTGGTAACGTCCAATTTTAAAAGCTAAATTATATAATATAGTTATCTTATTTTCTACAATTTTTTAGTATAATATGATATCATATCTCACATTCTCTTTCCTATTCCTTTGCACATATATTTTTATCTCGATCCACCAATGTCTAGACTCATGTGTCCAACATGTTAGGGCCTGTTTGGATCTCTTCCTCCAAACTTTAGAGCTCTAAAATTTAGAGCTAAAGTCTTCAGGTGGTCTTAAGTTAGCTCTAAACTTCTACCGAGTTTAGTCTCCAGGTGGTCTAAAGTTAGCTCTAAACTTCTACCGAGTTTATCCCTCCACTTGATCCTTGGCGTTGTCCGTGCATGGGTCCAAGGAGGGGAGGTGTAACTCGACACCATAAATTGAAACTGCTGGTTTCTTTTACCTTGGTTTAGAAGCTAACCGGGAGAAATGATTTCTTCCCATTTTAGGAGTGTGAAAGCCCTAGTTTGGTTTTGGATAATTGATGAAACCTAGCACTAACCTTTGTCATGAGTTGTGAAATGAGCTAGGTTGGTGCAATCCAAGTGTGGAACATGGTCATGAAGTCCATGGAGATGGAGTTGGACATATGTTGAAGATGATCAAGCTCAACTTAGAAAAGAAGAAAGAGAAAAACAAAAACCGAGATGATCAAGGTAAATGTATAAGATATGTTTTTGTTTTGCACTCAAGACACCATAGAGGATGTGAGTGACTTAGGATTGATAGCCGTACTATAAAAGGAGAAATCTTTGGCTACACAGTTTATCGAGTGCCACTAGATGACATGATTCTTGTATATGTATTTAGGAACCTAGTGTGCTAATCTTGACCTCTGTAAAATGCTTTGAAAAATGCTAACACACGTGCACACAAGTTCTACACTTTGTGGTTAGCAAGTTGTAAACAAGGGCAAAGCGGTTGAGGAGATAGAAAAAGAAAAGGCAGTGTCGGTCACTGACTGGATGCTGCACCGGACGCAGGACCTAACCCTAGGCAGCATCCGGTCATTTATAGCGAGGTGGCCTCGCTCTGGCCGAGAAGGCCTGTGAGCGCTCGGACGCTGGGATGTGACGCGGGCACTACGTCTGGTCAGTTGGCGTAGAGGAGAAGCAGCCTGGGTGGCGCGGACGCTGGAGAGGGCCGCGCGACCTGACGCGGTGAAGACATTGTTCATGCATCAGGTCAGTGGCTGAGGCGCGCGCGACGAGAGAGAGAGAGCGACCGGACACCGTGGCGCCTCAGGTCATCTTTGACCAGGCGTGTCCGGTCATTAAAAAGCCACTCCGGGAGCTTACTGATGTTGACCTGACGCGGAGTGTCTCAGAGTCCGATCGTTAGAACAGCGCGTCCGGTCATTGGGTTGACTCGACGCTGTCCATTTTTCAACCGTTGTGATCTAACGCGTGAAATTCAAAGGTGCGCCACGTGGACGGCCAGG